TTTTCTAGAAAAATAATGGAGCGGGCGGGCGAAAAAATAAAAATAAAAACAGGCCAACACACCAGGCCAGTTCAAAATTTAAACAATGAATTTTGTACTTTTAATGATACCATTGCATTTAAAGATGGAATACCTGTAACAACAAGGAAGAAAAGGACTGTTTTCAACTGTTCAGGGCAAAATATGAGTATTTTGCAGTTGATTCTGAATTTTTATTTTTATTTTCAAATCAGACAAAAATGAAGCAGGCGAATCCGTTAACCAAGACATTAACTTGATGTGGACTTATTAACTAAATTTTGACATACAGGAGATATTACTTACGAGAGCTAGCTTCATTGCATAGCAAACCACTCATGTTACCCCTGATGAAGATGACACACGTTCTTCAAAAATCCACTGAGGTATTAAACAAGTGGTTGTGAATAAAAGAACTTTACTATTCAAGCAACGTGTATGTTAGAACCTTTCTTTATGTCCGTGTAACCTTTTCACATGGAGCAGTTATGGAATAAAGAACAGCCCTCGGGAGGTCTTGCATAACTGCTGAATAACATCCTCACACATGGATTCGTGACTGATATCACGCTAGCAGGTCTGCCCTGATGACTTATTTTTTCATACGTGACCCAACATGCAGCTAGTATTAAGGCCACACCAATTTAATTTGTTGGTTCTCGGATACGCCTCTCCATTTTTACTGATTTGCAAAATAAATAAATAAAATAAAGATTCTGGTTCTGAATCAACTAAAAAATGTTCATATTTTGCCCCCAGCAGTTGAGGAAAGTCCTTTTCTTCCTAGTTGTTACAGTTTTTCCATCTATCAGTGCAGTGGTTTGATTAAAAGCTCAAAATTCATTGTTTAAATTGGCTCTTATCGAAGCATTTGCTATTATAGGATGTCTAGACCTGTATTTTTTTCATCCTGTTGCTTCATATTTTTTCTGAAAAAATCTGAGAACCAACAAATTAAATCGGTGTGGCCCAATAATATTATCACGGCACATCAAGAGAACTGGAGAACAATTAGAAAAAGGAGGTTTTTGTGATATTTCAAGTTAACACTAAGGGCTTGAAACAATCCTGAAGTAACTAGTAGGCCATACAGTATGCGCATAACACATGCACATTTGTGGTATTATATGGTTTTATCATAAGAATCCTACCGGTATCTGTATCTGTATCTGTATAGCCGGTATAACCGCCTTTCGGCGTAACACACCAGCTTCGCAGGCACGCGGCGCGGCGGCAGCTGGCTACAAATGTATATTACACCGATCGACTTGTTACACCTAACCCTTGAACTTCTAGCTCTAGACATTGTTTAAAGCTATCTATCTACAGTGTTCGAAATACCCGTCTGCAGTCTGCAATTTGCAGATAGATTTTCAAGATTGCAGAAGAAAAAATCTTACAATCTGCAATTTTGCAGAAGGAAAAAATAGGCTTCGGATTCAATAGTTTTCAATTAGCAAAGCAGTGGCGCTGTGAATAGATCGAAAACCTGCGCCGCACGAACCTGCCGGCGTTTTCCAGCAGACTGTAATGGTCCCATATAAGGGAATTTGGGGTCAAAGTTGAACGACTTCGACAAGGCGACGAAAGGCGACGATAACCAAATATGGGCACTCGCCATTTTCCGATGTTAGATTTCGTCTCCCGGGAGGACCCGACAACTGCCTCGGCAATTTTCGGCAGTTTTCGCTGAGCATTTCCCAGCAGGCAACACTGCAAAGGAAACATGGCTCCTCCGAAAAACCACACTCGTCTCGGCGTTAATTTGCCGAAATTTCGATGTTTTTCCTTGGTATTTTGCACGATTCAAGCAAAGAAAACAAGTTGATCCCATGAACAAAAGAGAAATACAGCACTGGGAACCTAATGGTCCGTTTTGTTGGGCGGTAATTTCTCATTTCGAGTGAAAATTTACGTGCATCACAGTTGTGACCATATGGTGTAAAATCAGTGATTTTCGGCTCGATCCGAACCAAGCACGGCCCGTAGACTTGTCCTTTATGATTTCTAGATGACTATCGGTACCAAAATACGGGAAAATATTGTTGCAAAATGAGAGAGACGGAGACTAAGGTAAACTTCTTTTATTTGAAGGCTGGATTTTCATTTTCCTGGCAGGCTTCTTTGTATGTAGTGATCATCAGTTATTCAGTAACAACAAATATGGATTTTTGTTCCGGTCAAAAAAACCGGTCCACCGACGTTTCGGTTTTTGTGGACCGGACCGATAAAATTTTACGGTCCGAACATATTTAAAAGAGTGATATTTTGAAGAACTTCAGTAATGCTACAGATTTACAAAGCTATACCATTATATATATATGATGTAAAAATAGGCATTATTGGTTTCAGAAGGTTGTAATATGGGGGCTTGTGTATTTGCAGAAAGTATTTCCAAATTGCAGGACGAAATTTTGACTCTTCTGCAATATTGCAGAGCACTGAAAAAAAGTATTTCGACCACTGATCTATCTATCGGTAGATTGATTATACTTGCAAGTAAGAGAAAATGGCATTTGGAGCCTTGAATTTCTTGTGTCAATTTAGCCATCATTTCTACTCTTCCATATTGTAACTAGATGTCGTCTATCAATATCATAGACAAATTTTATGCCCTGTGCACATGCACATGTACGTGTTGTCTGGTAATGAAATACGGCGTAGCTTGAAATAGAACCTAGTGAACATAATTATACCTGCCATTAGGACCTATGCTGCATCGCATGAATTGTGTAAATAATGTATTTTGGAGCTACTGGAAATAGGTACATGTAAATTACATCTCAAAGATGACAACTTCGTTCGACAATTTGACACTAAAATGGAAATGCAGATATAGGTAATTGATATACTTTGTACAAGTGCATTTTGATGGAATTTTTAAATTTGAACATTATGATCATACTGCATTCAGATCAGGCTGAAATTCTGTACTCATTGTCATTGATCCAGAATTTTATCGTCAAACCCATGCAAGGACCACCTGGCCAATGTGACTACTTCTTGGTGCTCCTTATTAATATAATTTTTACCATTGACTTAAGTTTTATGTAAAAATCATTTCTTTAGTTACCACCTGTCCACATACATGTATACCATATTTTTGTCCCCTGAAAGAAATAATTATATTTATTCATGCACAGTTTTGACTGTAAAGACAAAAGTAGAAAATTGTTTAGCTCTTTAAAAAAATTGAAACTAAATTATAGCCTGTAAAAAATAAATTTGAACCAAAAAATGTTTAGCTCTATTAGGAACAAAATTGAAAAAGTTTAGCTAGATGTAAGAAATATAAAACTGAAAAAAATAGCTCTGTAAAAAAAAAAATTGAGAAAAATAATGTTTACCTCTCTAAGTCTAAGAAACAAAATTGAAAAACTTACGCTCTTTGAAATATCCAATCTCATTGAAAAAAAGTTTAGCTCTATCATCTATGTCTATGTAAAAAAAAAATGGAAAAAGTTAAGCTCAATTTGTAAGTAAATGTGCAAGTTTCCATCCATCCATCCATCCAGCTATTTTTGGATCCCTGTCAGTTACCTCTGGTGTCTGAAGAAACAAATTGCCTTCTGGCAAACCTAATTACTTGAGGGAAATTAAACCCTCACAGCTGGGTGGGTTGGCTTGTTTCTCCTCCAAATGAAAGACCCTCTAATGGAGACATATGTACAGAATGTGAAATGCGGTCCTCATAAGTGTGCTCAAAATATCTGGGAGGTTGTGATTTGCATGTAGCTGGTCAGGGATAAGGAAAGCGTGCGACCTTAGAGTCACCTTGAGTTGTCCTCTAAAGTTAAAGGCATCTAGTGCAGTTTTTAGGGCTTGGAAACTCGATTTTTCAAATCCAATATTCTAGTCATTTATCTACATACTGAGTTGAAACCACAATTTCCCAATATATATTGACCCTCATGGAGCAAAAATACCCAAAATTCTGACGGAAAATGGTTACTGGAAGGGCCCTGGGCTGATGTTTAGGGTACCATGGCCACCCAGAAAATAAAGGGCTCATATTTGGGCTTGTTTCTGCTGTTTTAAATGCCTTAAGTATGAAATGCTGACTCAAATGAGCTAATATGAAGCAGTTTGTGTCAATATCACAAAGATTGCCTTTTTGATATTCGAAAAGGTTGAAGAATGTTTCCAATTTTGCTGCCCTGAAATCGCAAAATTGGGAGCCTTTAAAGCCTGAGGTTACATGTTTGTTCTCTGGTGTGTACATCTGTGTTAGTGAGCAATTGGGTGAGAAATGTAATGTGACTTGTGATACATCAGCTCATTTGCAACTTCAAAACCTGTTAGGTGTACATGTACATGTACATTTTTGTCGGTGGTCTAACTTACTGAAGGTAATTTATCTAACTTTTCTCAGATGTTCATTTTTGTGAAAGTTGTGTGGTGTCGAATGACTGAGTGGTCAACTGACACAAGATTCTTTGTATTCCTGGCTAGATGTTTTTGGGAAAGACATTTTATATGTAACTTTCCTTACTGTACCCACTCAGGCAGGTGTAAAATGGGTGTATTTTTTTGAGGAGGTAAAAGGCAGTGGAAGGAGAGGGATGGGCTCTGCCTTCCAATACTGTACCCATCACGTAACCATACCTAGACAATTCACTGCCTTTACCTGTATATATATTTTATCTCATTTATCCTTAACAGCAAGAATTGCAATTTTGCATGATAATATGTCAGAACTATGTTTAAAAAGTTTTAAAGTTTTGAAAAGCCAAAAAAAATTGATAACTAACGCCTTTCAGCGTAACACACCAGCTTCACAGGCACGTGGCGCGGTGGTAGCTAGCTACATGTATTACACCAGACGACTGTTACACCCAAAGCAACTTTTACACATTTCATTGGAGGAGTTGTTTAAAGCTTTCTAATGTCATTTCCCATAAATATGACGCAGAAAATATGACTCGAGTGTGAGAGCGGTTATTTTGAACCTTTTTATTAAAATTTGCCAGTTTATTTCCCAGGTCTGAGTCACCCTGTCGGCCATGACGGAGTACAAGTTGGTGGTAGTGGGAGACGGAGGTGTGGGGAAGAGTGCCCTCACCATACAGCTCATACAGAACCACTTCGTACAGGAGTACGACCCTACTATAGAGGTTTGTATGTGTTTGTTTGTTTGTTTGTTTGTTGATGGTTGGAGACGGAGGTGTGGGGAAGAGTGCCCTCACCATACAGCTCATACAGAACCACTTCGTACAGGAGTACGACCCTACTATAGAGGTTTGTGTGTGTTTGTTTGTTTGTTTGTTTGTTTGTTGATGGTGGGAGACGGAGGTGTGGGGAAGAGTGCACTCACCATACACCTCATACAGAACCACTTCGTACAGGAGTACGACCCTACTATAGAGGTTTGTATGTGTTTGTTTGTATGTTTGTTTGTTGAGATTCACCACCTTTGAAAGCAGACATTACAAAACAGGTGGTTGCCACCTCTTCAAGTTATTTGTTTATTTGAGCCTTTCTTTATTAATGAAAGACAAAAAAATAGACCTGCTGGACTTTTCATTGAGGTCATGATGAGGAAAGAGGTCACTGGGTCAAACAAAATACATGAATTACAAACCAGCCTGGTATGTTGACTTCATGGCTCCTGTCATAGCAATCATAGGATGCCTAGGTCTGTTTTTTTTTTTTCCCCTTTTGCTTCAATTTTTTTCTGAAAAAATCAGAGAACTAACAAATCAAATTGGTGTGGCTTAAGCAAAGAAGCATGAATAAACTGGACAGTTAAGTGTTAGTTTTTTGTTTATGGACAATTATACAAAACTAAGATACAGTTATTATCTCCTACTCTGCTACACAAACCTGACCAAAGTGACATCTAGAGGGAGCAAAACTAGATATGCAACAGATCTTTCAGGGTAGTTAACACTGTCAGTGACTCAGTCTGTAAAACAAACATGCTGTCCTTACTTAAGGACCTGTGGGAGACCAGCTATTTACACATTTTAGGTCACAAATAGGCATATAATTAGTGTGAAATTATTTAGGAACAGTATCAGTACTGTATACCAGTACATAACTCTACGTATGATCCATTGTTCTGCCTTCAGGACTCCTACAGAAAGCAGGTGGTGATCGATGGGGAGACGTGTTTGTTGGACATCTTAGACACAGCAGGGCAGGAGGAGTACAGGTAAGACACTGTCTTCTGATAAATTATTATTCATAATCATACAAGTAAGATGAGACAGTAACTGTTGTAAGATGAGACAGCCTTGAATCTGATGACACAAGGTGTGTCATTGTTTCTATTTTCTAATTATGCAAATGGTAAACTATAGGACAGCAAGATCCCATAGCGTACTGATAAATGTGAGGCAAAAATATGATGTTGCTGACAGAAAAACAGTTGGAATGTTATGTACCGTATTTATTGGTGGTACCATAAAATAAAGGGAGTCCTCACATAGCTTGTTTTCAAAGTCAAACACTTCAGAAATGATATGATGACAAAAATGTGCTTAAAATGAAAGTTAATGTCAATATCAGACAGATTTCTTCATCCAGAATGTTTAGTTTGTTTTACCGCCCTGAATTTGCATTGGATGCCTTTAAAGTGCTCGTGCCAAAATCTGACCTCATCTGATTGTAGTTGACATAACTAGCATAACCTGTCTAACAGACATGTTTACAATAAATATACCCGGTTCTCCTGTTATATTCGGAATTTCAACGGCCCACCTCGGAAAAGTCAGCACAAGCCAGTCCCGACAGACTATTTGTATCTCTGTTTTATTTTTGCATTTCTATATTATTTCCTTAGCTGACGTCATCCCATGATGTCATCTCCGGAAAAAGCACAGAAATGCGAAAATAAAACGTAGAGACACAAAAAGAGATGCCCGAGGCAGGCAATTGGGAAGCTTGCAGGAGCGTCTCAAACAATGCATTTATGGAAGGCCGCACAAACTCAATTTCTCAGTCATCATGATCAAAACCACCTTCAAAATGACTATATTGTATGTGTTATACCTCCGATAAATATTTCCATGTATTTTACCAACTTTGTTGAGTGTCATATGGTCTTTAAGTTTCTCCTAGGGTAATAAATTATTTGAGGTGACCTCTGGGTTCTACAGAAAGCTTTGATATGCAGACATAGATGTATGCACATGTCATACTGGGTTTGGAAGTTCTATTCTTGGCATTCATGTAGGCGTCTGTGGAAATGAATACTCCTATATTGTAGCTCAGGAAAAAGCTTTTAATGGATGTGTTACAGACAGACGTTATTTTTTTTCCAGTCCCCTGAGTGTTTTCTGACAGGTTTTACGGAGCATATACTGTCAGGAACTTGACACCTTTCAATTTTTTTTCTGTATGCTGATGATTGGACTTGACCGAGACTATGCAAATGCAGAACCTATGTGGATCACATCCACAATGCTTTAGTTTGCAGACATGCTTTCTTGAGCAATGATTACAAGTACTAGTAGTAACAACATTCCTCTGTGTTGGAAAATATTCGATTGAAGCATTTTTATATTCTATTGAATATATGGACTGAGTAATGATAATAAAAAAATAGCTGCAATATATTGTACATCATGATGATCATACAAATGTACATGTACATCCAGCAAGGCCTAAGGCATATTGAAATATCTTCACCGTATGTATTCTGTACTCCACAATTTGACCCTTGTAGGCCCCAAACAGACCGAGATCCCTTCGGTATGATGAGGGTCTGCATGGGGGGCTCCGGGCAACGCTTAGCAGTAAAGTTAGGGGGGCCAACAATGCTTAACAGTAATTTTGACTTGACATACAACAAATTTTTCAATCATGCTTAACAATGAATCAGGATAACAAAAATGACATACTACGTGTAATTAAAGAGAAATAATAGTATTAGTATATAAAATTATTCATGGCTTGAAATTCATTATTGGGAATAGGTGCACGAAACCTGAAAAATTAGGTGCACAACTCCAAAATGAGGGTGCACTAAGGTGCACAATTCATGCATTCAGTATTTTGAGCCCTGGTTTTATACTTCACAAAGAATTTTCCAAGAACACTTAACATTGAATTAAAGTGGCCGGCTACGATTAACAGGGAATTAAAATGGCTCGTTATGGCAAATTTCTGCCTCACAGAAAAAGGCATGCAGACCCTCAGTGATGTGTGCTGAATACGTAGCTCGCCTCCACAGCAATACTGCAGGGTCTGAACCCATAAAAACTGATGGATTTGTCCCATAAGGATCGCTGGTTGCGCTCGTGTGTGACGCCGGTAAAAGTGCGCCTGTGGCAAAACAGCACTTCGGAGATTATGGAAAGGCCTAGGAAAAAAAAGTGTAGTGTTTCCTGTATCCCGACCGACCCTAGAAAAAACTGCCGACCCTAGCCTTTTTTTTATGTGGACCCCTGCGACGGTCATGAATTTTTTGAGCTGATCGACCTTTTCTAGCTCCATGATCTGACACCTGAGTGATGAAACGTTGTAGAATTGGTTTTCCAACATTGACATTGAAAATTTAAGTGTCGTCATGCAGGGCTCGAAATACTGGGTGCATGTGCACCTTAGTGCACCCAAAATTGGGGCTGTGCACCCAATTTTTTTCTGTAACTAAAAACTAAAATATTTTTGTAGGTAGTTTTGTACATTATAATATAGTATGCAGGATATCCTTCACATCTAAGTGTCAGAAAACTAAAATCTTTGTTGTAGTACTTGTTAAAGATTAAAGTTAGCTGCCATTTCAGATTCAAGCTCATACTAAGATCTGTAATTAGGTTTTGTTTTAGTAAATTGGTGCACCCAGAAAAGTTTTTGTGCACCTTTTTTTCCCAAAAATGAATTTCGAGCCCTGCCTCATGCAAGTTTTACTAAAATGTATTGTATAAATGTATAACTTAAATCACTAGAGATCGCCAAAGTCTAATAAAAAAAAGGAAAGAAAAAAATAATCCATACGGCCTACCTATCGACCCTAACTTTTCAGGACTGAAACAGGAAACACAACATGTTTTTCCTGGGCCAAATGGGCGTAGGTGTAGAGTCTGCCCTTTACTGTATGGCGTTAGATAAAGTCATGTGACGTGTGATGAAATTTCACCATGCCTGAGCTGGTTTCATGTCTCACTGCTGAGCTTGCATTTCTCGTTCGGCCTTAGGAAAGAAATGTTTTGTTTCCTGTTTCAGTCCTAGAAAAATTTGGGTCGGTAGGTAGGGATTATCTTTGTTTTTCTCTCTTTTTTTAGAATCTGACTAGTGACCCAATGTATACAATGAAGTTTAACAAAGAAAAACTTGCATGAGTTTAACACTTTTATTTTCAACATCAATGTTGGAAAACTGATTGTACAACGTTTTATTACTCAGATGTCATATCATGGAGCTAGAAAAGGTCACAGCCAGCTCGAAAAATTATGTCCCTTGCAGGTCCACACAAAAAGGCTAGGGTCGGCAGTTTTTTCTAGGGTCGGTCAGGAAACACAGCATTTTTTCCCTAGGCCTAATAGCTCTTCCACACAGTGTGCATGTCTGTATTGAACATACATGTAGAAGTGATCCAAATCTGAACACTGTACAGTACTTCACTTTCAAATTTCATCCTGTTTTTTTTACTGCAAATGGATCACTGATTCTTGATGGTTTTAAGAAAGACAAAAAAATCTCCTGTGTTCTGTCATCATCTTTGAAGGCATCCAGTCCCATTTCCAGGCAGCAAAACAAAAAAACAAAAATACTGTGTATGAAGAAATCTTTCAGATATTAAAAGTTCAAAATTCATACTATTATTAGTTTGAATTATAAACCAGACTATGTTGACTTCATGACATTTGGTGCTATCATTGGATGCCTAGGCCTGTTTTTTCCCGTCACTTCATTTTGTTAAAGAAACAATTAGGTACCAAACGAATTAAATTCATGTAGCCTGATGTATATGTTAAATATTAAGTAATTTGTACATTTGTATGTTGCAGTGCCATGAGAGACCAGTACATGAGAACAGGGGAGGGATTTCTGTGTGTCTTCGCTATCAACAACGACAAATCCTTTGAGGACATCGCCATGTACAGGTCAGTACCACAAGGATGTTGTTTAGCCTTCTTCATGCTAAGGATGCATCCATTGTGTTGGTTGTTGAAGATTTGCTGCATATTTGGCCTCAGAACTAACCTATACTGTCAATAGCGCCTCCCTTTGACAGTATGTAAAACTGCAGGGACCCCTCTGTGTACTGCATACCATTGAGACCATGGCTTTCTCGTGTGTTACTCTGACATCAAAATAGGTGTTTTCCTTATAACATTAACATTCAAGTCAAGTATATTATGCTTTGTGCTCTGCCAATTTGATGATTACCTTGGTTCTCAGATTTTCAAGAAAATGATATAACTACAATACAGATCTTGAATAACTCTAATCTTGAAAATCGACATGCGTGCAAATTGCAATCAAAAGTCGTGTAAAAGCCATGCGTTTCCCAATTACAATGCTGTAAAAGCCGTACAGTTCTTGATTAAAAGTTGTGAAAAATATTGCTTCCTTGTAATTTATCCAGTACTAGAGTTTGAGTATTACCTGGATGGCTAACCTTCATCGACGTAGTTATCATAATTGTTATTAAAAATCATCTCCACAGGGAACAGATCAAGAGAGTAAAGGACTCAGACGAGGTTCCTATCGTACTGGTGGGGAATAAGTGTGACCTCCCAGCACGCACCGTGGAAAACAAACAGGCCTTCGCTCTGGCCAAGAGCTACGGAGTTCCCTACGTAGAGACGTCTGCAAAGACAAGAATGGTGAGAGTGAAGGGACAGGTTTTTTACTTAGATATAGGGATTTTCTTTTTACACAGTCAGAACCTCTCTTATTTACGTTTTATGTCTATCAGACACCTTCCTCAGAGCTTCTGACTGGAGTTCTGATTCTGACCGCTGTAGGTGGCGCAAAAGAGCACAATCCCAAACGTGGCTTTACTCGAGTTTCGTACCTCCCCCCCCCCCCCCTCGTCCCGGTTCATCACTGGGGTTGACTTCCTTATCCAGACTGCTTTCAATCCATCAGATTCTTCTGTTGTCTTCTCTCAGTCTATGACGTTGCCCCCCTCCCAGTGTATTACACAGGGAGGGGGGCAGCAATATAGTCTGTCACTGACAATTTCTTCTTTTCCTTTTAAGATTTGTTTTTCTGGTTGTGTAAAACAAAATAAAAGAAAATCCCTATGTTCTACCAACCTAATGAAACTATTTTTGGAGGTCTTTTCCTTACAATACTTTCCTTGTCCAAGAAATTACATAGTTTTGAAACACTTTGAACATCTTTTCAACATTTTAACTATTTTCTGGGTTGGGTATAACTTTTGATTTAGTCATGATGTGGAGTATAATTTCCAATAATTTGTCAATAACTGTAACAGTATTCTACCATCATTAAATTCACCATTATTTGTATCATTTTTTGAATGGGTGTTTGTAAATTATGCTTCAGAAAACCATTGAAATATCGCTTCCATGGGTTTGAAATTCAGATAAGATTAAAAATTTAATGGGCGTGCCAGTGGTCAACAAAAGAAAGGCTGCTGATAGTTTTTGTTCCGGTTTTTGCTAGTATCCTACAAAAAACAGAAACATATTTTAACATTTTTTTCCTAGGTCCTATCACACAATGTTGTGACTTTGCTACTCAAAGTCTTGGTTCTTATTTTCTAGGGAGTGGACGATGCGTTCTACACACTTGTGCGAGAAATCAGGGCCTACAAGGAGAGACAAGGCAAAGCCGGCAAGAAGAAGAAGAAGAATTTCAAGAGCCGATGCACCATATTGTAACTGTTCTCTGCCTGTCATCATTCCACAATTGTTTCACAGCACCACCAAAGGCTGTTCTGGGAAAGAAAACAAAGTAGGGAGGCAAGACCACAGTTTTAAATTATCCATCATGTTCTGTAGACTATAGTCAAAACTCAAAACGACCACTGAGGGACCGAGAAAATCTGGTCTATGTGGACAGGTGGTCACTTAATTCTTAAAGGTTGTTTCAATGGGAAAAATGATCTGAGGGCTGACCAAAAAGTGGCCACATTGGCCAGGTGGTCCTTTTGCAGAGGTGGTCACTTGTATGGGTTTGACTGTTATTTTTAATTTCTTTGTATAATAATTGGTGTAGGGAGAAGTCACCTTTTAGGATTTTAATTAGAATCTTGCCAGCCTTCTATTTCTATCCCGGACAGCCTGAAAATGTCTACAAATTATTGATTGATTTACGTCTACCATAATGGTTAAGATGACGGCCATTCCATGTGTAATTCAGCATTCTAGTAGGCCCCGGGTGAATTTCAGTCTAACCTGTACCCCTCACGTGCTACTACAACGTACTACTGCCCCCCTCCCCCTTCATTTTCAACATGCAATTAACTGTTAGCAGCTAATATTAATCATAAAAAAGTAACAGTAATTATTTCGGAACAGATTTTAGTGTGATCCAATTGCTTCCTAAATTGTGAGTGTTGCAGGTAAAATTTGACTGGTGCAGATAACTTTCAATGTTACCTGCACAGCCAATTTTTCATTCCACCTTGCTTTACTTGACTCATGATGATTCGAAAAAAAAATTGACGGGGCCTTTAGTAAACACCCAGTCCTTGGAACAAGTCATTTTTCTTCCAGCCACCTTTAACTAAAGTTTAAGGCTTAACTGCATACACAACGTTGTGGTGTGTCAGGGATATGTTATTGAAAGGGTAACAAACTTTTCTTTTGTGTTCATAAAAGTATGTATCACTGATATCACATGTTGATTTACAATTTTAGCACAACCGATGTCATGGAAAGACCACATGTGTTGTCATCATTGTCTTTTCGGGAATGTATTCCACACATGGTCGTTGTACATATCGAAAACACACAATGCTGGTTACTGCAGGTTTCACAAAGATGTTCTGAGTCTCTTTCACCACTCTTCCCTAAGGCTACACCGATTTAATTTTATGGATGACATCCGCGCGCGCATTGATTTTCGCCTGATCTCAAAAAAAAAAAAAGATCACGTCTTCCGAGGCGTCTGGCAGTCCATGGTGATTAGCGACAACGAAGCCTGCGGTAACTCTGGAAGACGGCACCCAGGCTACCGAAGGTCCACAACATACGTACAGTGTCGTTCATAAATTCCGCAAAAAGCCAGCATGTGCGTCGTATACGTCACTATGTAATGCGTCAAATTCACAATTCCAGCTTTGTTTTCCTGTGGTTTAGTAGCATTTTTATTTTTGGCCTGATTTTTCTTTTTTTTGCCCGCGCGCACTAGTTTGGGGGTCTTCAGAGGATGTCATCCATAAAATTAAGTCTGTGTGGCCTAATAGAAGCAACTAGAAGTAGGGACATCCATACATGTAACTCTCTGCATGTAAGGCTTAGCTTTGTGGTGATACAAGAAAAGGACAATTCCTACCTGCTGTAGCAAATCTTTTGGAGTCAAGTACATGTTTTCAAAAGAAAGCAGCAGCTTTTTATTCTTCGTCACAAGTCCTGCATTGCCTTTTGGGTCACCCCATCAGAACAGTGTCGACATGTACAATTACTATATTGTAACGAATATTTGCATTATAAGGGCGACTCTACAATTTTGAGCCACATGTTTTATTATGTATTAAATTATCATGCAATATGTAGATGTCAGGGATGACGTGAAGCTCTGAGAGGTATGATTGCTTTAAAACTTGGGGAAATGTCCTTCCTCACTGTATTACCCACTGTTGTTCGTTGGGCTAAGCACGTTGGCAGAACGTACTGCACCTGCACAATACCTGTAATACACAAAATGTATTGTGCATAGCACTCGGTCAGAACGTATCATTTAAGGTCATATCTGCATATATAAGAATGACATCGTGTTTATAGTTTTCAAATGTATCGGAAAAGGTATCCTCTGCATTACATGTCACTAGGTAAAATTCTGATGCAACGTTAACCAAATTATAATCCAAAGAATACTGTGAAAAAATGGGTTTTGTGCAGGTGCAGTACGTTTTACCATTGACAGAAAAGGTAATATGGAAGAATGCTGTTAGAAATTGTTTTTCCAGATTCCTTGTAAGTTGTTTCCATACCAGTTGTTTGTGCAACACTGCCAGGCATACATGTATGACATACTTGATATTGTCACCACTCCAAGTGTGGTAGGACTGATGACATAACCTGTCATCTTTCAAAGTGTAAAAATTCATGTTTTCACAAGTGTTCTAGCCAGCCAGTTTTTTTTTTCATCATCTCAATTTTGTCAATCGTGAGGAGCAAAATTCTGTCAAATGACAGAAAGATGAACACTGGCTGGAAAACTGGGTTTCATTCAAATGCTGCTGTGACAAGTCTGCAATGTCCAAACCATTGTCTCTACACATGAACACATCACATTCAGACTAGTAGCAATAATTAGGTGTGCTTGTGTGAAAACACTGTAAGTAGTTGTCACTGGTGTACATTGGTCTACATGTGAGCAAGGTTGAAACTTGTACATAATATCACGTGTAGTGGGTTCAACATGGTCTCGTGATCTATGAAAAATGCACGTGATCCTCGTGAAAAGTGCAAAATGTGATGTTTTTAACTTAAAGTCATGACAGTCAACAATGTGATACAAGCCTGTCCTAATAGATGAAATTACTAAATTTGCACAATCATGAAATGAAGTATGAAATAGTAACGATAGACAAAATTCATCATTTTTAAAGTTCTTGGCAGATAAAAAAAAAGATGTTAACGTGGAAGGTATGTAGAGAAAAAAAGCAAAACATTGAAATTGTCTGGGTGGATTTTTGCTTTTAACTTTGCACAGTCAAATATACATGAATGGGTTTGGGATGTAGTTTGGGGTTAGTAATGTAACATGAACTGTACCCGTGTTGTACGAACTTGAGCCACAAAAAATGTAAGTTATTGTCTCTTTAGCTACATGTACAAAATGTATACGGCTCTACAACCAACAATATGTGCAGGGTACATGTTATTGTGTGTGATTACAAATCTACATGTGTATGTCTTGGAAGGTGGCTGTTTCTGACTACATCTAGTCTTGTTAATGTCTTTTGGGGCCCAGTCAGGACTGGAAATGTGTATTCTCCACCAGACACCACCATCACAGGTTCAAAAAAAATGGGTAAAATTTAGCCAAATAGGGAGAATAAGTAGCCAAGAGAGTTCATTTGCCTACACAGTTAGGGGGATATTAACCTTCCCACAGACTGACTGTCTGGGCCAATTATTCTTCCCTTTTTGACAAATTCTACAATCCATACCCCTGTAGGAAGGCCTGGTGGAGGCTAGAAAAGGGTAGAAGCATCAAGAAATACTAGTACTCCCGTGGTGCGTTTTTCTGGTGAAAAATGCACATGCTGACAGCACCCCACTTGTCCCCAGCTATACTAGCCCTAGGACCTTTCTATTGTGTGCCATTTAAAATGTGTACTAGTAGTACAACGTCTGCTGTATATATAGCCTGCATTGTCAATACTACTGTGTAAGGAATGTCATGTACATGTCGGCCCATGCTCTACACATAAGAGTTTCCTCCTGTATGTAAAAATTGAAAATCACATGATGAGAACATCGTTGTAACTAGACTTGGTGATGGTGACATTTAAGATGTGTAAAAAATAAATCAACATTTAGCTTGACTTTGCTGGAGGCTACAGTGTCAGTGCACAATTTGCACAACTTCTTCAACTTACTTACCCCTGGGCCAGTTTGTATCGTTACGGGGAACTTATCTTTGTCACTTCTCTTGTATCTTAGATCATTTCTCTAATTATAGGGGTTTTAAAATCAATGTGAGGAATAGAATGTATTCCTTCATCATTTTGATGTCCACTGTGGTTCATTAACAAATTTGTGTGTCATGTAAAATATAGAAATCTAGTTGTCTGGTTGTAAATCTGTGATAAAATATACATCAAGTACCAGTGGCATATGTGACTGTGTGTTTTCTGGACCGTTTTATACAACAAGACGTTAGTTTGTGTGTGCGTGTGTGTGTGTGTGTGTGTGTGTGTGTGTGTGTGTGTGTGTCTTCGTATCCGTGTGGAGAGGTGTGTTAGCATTAGCTCTTATGAGTCAAGCAACTGCTCTTTTTCAAGAACATTTTAATGGTTTAATATTGCTGATGATGTGTGGCATGCATGTACTTTAGTCGTCACAATGAAGATTTTACATGGCTGAAGTCTGAATCAGTCTACAACATGTCTAGATGAACTCCATGAAAATACCACAATATGTCTGTCTTTTTTTTTACAAGAAGTGTTCTGGCAAACTGCTACTGTAACAATATTTACATGTCTTTGGCACGGACGGTAAGATATTTTACAAGCCTTTATTTTCACACTCTTTACTGCAACACTTGTTCTATTCAATATGTTCTGTTCCTAGGGACAGTTGTTCTGTTAATATGTTCTGTAACCTGTTTCTAGGGAGAGAGTTGTTCTGTTCATGCATGTGTTTCTAATCTAAGGACGAAGTTCTGTTTATATGTTCTGTACTCTGTTCCAAAGGACGGAGTTGTTCTATCCTTATGTTTGTTACCAGGGACAGAGTTGTTCTGTCCATATGTTCTGTAGCCCGTTCCTATGGGGACGGTGCCATTCTGTATCCTGTTCCTAGGGACGGAGTTGTTCTGTAGTCTGTTACCAGGGACAGAGTTGTTCTGTCCATATGTTCTGTAGCCCGTTCCTGTGGGGACGGTGCCATTCTGTATACTGTTCCTAGGGACAGAGTTGTTCTGTAGTCTGTTACCATGGACAGAGTTGTTCTGTCCATATGTTCTGTAGCCTGTTCCTATGGGGACGGTGTCTTTCTTCATCCTGTTTCTAGGGACGGAGTTGTTCTGTAGTCTGTTACCAGGGACAGAGTTGTTCTGTCCATATGTTCTGTAGTCTGTTCCTAGGGACAGAGTTGTTCTGTCCATATGTTCTGTAGTCTGTTCCTAGGGACGGAGTTGTTCTGTCCATATGTTCTGTAGTCTGTTCCTAGGGACAGAGTTGTTCTGTCCATTTGTTCTGTATCCTGTTCCTAGGGACGGTGTTGTTCTGTCCTTATGTTCTATAGTCTGTTCCCAGGGACAGAGTTGTTCTGTCCATTTGTTCTGTATCCTGTTCCCAGGAACGGAGTTGTTCTGCTCATATAACCTGTGGCCTGTCCCTGGGTACGGGATTGTTGCTCGTTCCCAGGGCGTCCCGCAGGAGCAGCCAGAAGAGCGGATGGCCCGCGGTGTCGTCTGGTCCGGGCCACTGCAGGAACATCCCCGGCCGCAGCAGCTTCCGCAGCTTCTGGAAACTGGAACAACAAGACAAGCTTTTACAACAAGAAGATGTTTTTCAAAAAAGCTCACAGGGGCCATAATGGAAATAGGTGGTATTTGTTAAATATATATCTGCGTTTTTGTAAGTGGCGCTGGCAAAATAAGTTGCACAGTGCAGTGTCACTTTGTGTCATTTTGGATTAAAAAAAAATATCTGGTTGGGCAGCGTGAGTATGATGACGATATGTGCTCAAATACTAGTAATTGATCAACTTGGTGACTTGAATTGGACTCATCCTGATAAGACAGCACTTAGATGCACAATCGTTATGTATCATGCGCTCTCTCTTGCGGAAATAGATATATTTTGTAATACATATACGTATAGAGCGGTTACGTGCGGTAAAGACCAAACTAAAGGGCTAAGTTGAACTGTAATGGAAGGTTGCCTTCGCCTGGTGAACCTCAGGTGAGTAGCTATCACACACTGTACAATACAAAACAATACGAAAGAACAACCGTAACGGCATTTGTACCTGTCACGTAGATGCTACTCAGAATGCTACACGAATACAGTATATCCTCAAACCTGACAAACCGACCACCTCTTCAAGCCGGCCGTTACGGCCCGGTCCCGAGTTTTCCTAAGCCTTAAGCCATCTTTCCAAGAAGACCACCTGTCCAAGAACAGAACACTTCACCTCAGTCACCAGTTTGGTCTTCTTGGACAGGTGTAAACGAGATACTCACTGTGTTAGTTTGTTTTTCGGGATGGGCTCCAGGAACACCATGACGACCACGTCTCGCCGGTCGTCCTTGTCGAACAGCCGGTAGGACGCCACCTGCATCTCCAGCCAACTCGCCTCCTGGTCCAGGTACCTGCGTGGGGACAGGTACCGGTGTACATGTTTGTTGTTTGTTTGTTTGTTTAGCATAACCGGTAAACCGCCTTTTAAGCGTAACACACCAGTTTTGTACATGTAAGTACAAGCTTCGTAAGACTGGACTGTAAGGTTTGAACCACTCACACCGGGAAGGTCCCCTACGTACTCTTTTCGATAAGTGCAGTGGGTTCATTGGGGTGTGGCTCTCCCAAACACAGGACCTCCATTTAACGTCCTATCCGAGGGACGTCCCTAACCGAAGCTAGGTACTCATTTCCACATGAGTGAAGTGAGGAAAGTACTTTCGACTAGTCGTGTAAAGTACATTTTTCCCATGGGCACAAGATCGGTGACATGGGTAGGATTCGAACCCACGGACCTGTTGGTCCTGAGCCGAACACGCTACCGCATGTGCTCGCGGATGAGGGTATGCATCTCAAACAGGTGAGCAAAAATATATTTGAGTGTGTTGGAAAATACAAAACACAAATACAAAAGATCAAAGGCATCCAATGCAATTTCAGGGCGGCGGAACTGAGGATTTTCAATTTTAAGTTCTAGTCTCGTATTAAGTTGAATCAACCCTATCTCATAGCGTACTAGATATCTGTGAGGCAAAAATGCGATGTCACTGACAGAAAACGGTGGTTTATTATGTAATTGTGGTACCAAAAATAAGGAGACACGTAACTTGTAAATGGGCTACATTTGGGCTACATTTGGGCCACAATGTTGACGAAAATGTGATAAGAAATGGCAGTAAATGTCAGTATCAGACTTCGGTTAGATAGTTGATGATGACCGAGAGATTCGATCGAAAATTACGGTGAGTCGTTCTTTAGTTCGACAACGTACAGTTCTGTGTAATTTACCAAGTCAGATGAACTTTCTTGCTGATAAAATATTACGGATTGTCCACTATATGGTGATAAACGCAAAAAGCTTTTCAAGCTTCTTTCTGTAACGGAATGTGTTACATTTCATGCTACACTTCATTCTAGAAAGTAATAACCCTTAGCTGTGTACAAATAGGTATTAAATATATCAGAATATTTAGACCTTAGAACAAGTAGTATAACTTTATTCATCTGTTGTCTTGTACGTAGGTTTTGTACCCACGTGTCTGTCTGTATGGGTTTACCGTCAGTGATGTAGTTAAAGACCTTACGAAAGTCGCTGTACTTTTGTTGTGTCAAATTAAAGTTCTGTACGAGAACAGTACCAGTTCTTACTGTTGAGTGACGAGGCAGAGCGTCTTCCTGCTGCGGCGGATGTAATCCTGGACGTTGTCGATGATCGGGCCGGGCATGGTGTCCCTGTCCGGGATACACAGCTTCAGCTGGGGAGACTTCTGTTCAAGGTTCGGGATGAGAACGTCCTGGATCCACCGCACGTCCTACAGCAGCAGGGGAAGGGCAAACACAAGCCACGTCATTAGCATGAAAGTTACTGTAATCAGATTGGTAACCTAGATTACATACATGTAAATTACATAATGAAAATTAAACTGTTCTCCGACTCAAAAAAAGGAAATTGACTAAACCGGTCTTCCGCAGCTACCTGATTCAAGTGCTAATATGCGTGCTGTTGACACTTCTATTCTCCGCACGTGTTACGTAAGCACCGGATGAGTGAGAGGAGTGAAGGGAACCTACTCTCCAAGCAGAGGTTGTGGGGGAATGATCGTTAGCTTTTTATATATGGCCGGTTTTTTTGTTGTTGCTAGTCCCACCCGTCGGTGGCCGCGGACCTTCTCTGGCTAATGGATACTGCCTGGCCAATTTGAAAATGTCTTTTTGCCACCGATAGCGATCTGCTTGGAGATTAAAGGGAACCGTCTACATCATGATATCAGGGAACACCAACCTTTTCTCAACTGGGACGGGGGGCGGTACCGACTTCCGTCACGCGTGCTGTCTACAGCACTCGGGTCAGAGAGGATGAAGACCGAGAGATTCGGTCAAAAATTCTGGTGTGTCATTTTCTTTGAGTTGGGAACTGTTAACCAACTTTCATTCCACTATGTTTTTTTTTTCTTTTTTTTTTTGGTAGGTCTAAATATGACTTTAATATATACCTCCGCCGAGTGAGAAACGTAGGCGTCGTACTCCACCTCCAGGTCTTCCCCCTCCAGTCTCTCGTACGCCTCCTTGCGGCGCCTGGTGACCAGCACCCAGACGTACTGCACGTACTTGTGCAGGCCGAACTGTCGGCACACGATGGTCGCCACCGCCACCACCAGAAACACCGAGCACGTCGTTATGGACGCGATCACCTCCACCTGGGACACGCAGTCGACCTCAGGGTGGAAGGACAAGATGCTCTGTGGAAAAAAGAAACAAAACAATGCATCGTCGGCCAAATTTGTTACTTAGGTTTGAGGAATTGCATGCATTTCTGATGACGAAGAATTAGCAAGTTATCGAGTTTCTGAAGTAAGGCCATGTTAATTTGATTATATAGATGACATCCTCTGGAAACCTCAAAACTGGTACGAGCGTGCGAATAAAAAAGGTTTGGCAAAAAAAAAGTTGCCTTCATAATGAAATATACGTGGTCATGAAGGTTGAAGAAATGACTAAACACATAGAGTATGGTATAGAGAATAATAGAATCTTTATTTTCATTTCTACACATTTCTTCTTTTCCTTTGGAATTGATTTTGGCGTTCCAAGACATTAATGTCGCTCTGTAGTATTTTTTTTTTTGCAATCTCCGGCATAGACTTGCTAAGTTTGCAGTTGCTTTGTGCGATTTACACTGGTTGAAAATTTTTTTTCCGAAAATAGTTTCATCAGGTTGGTAAAACTTGAGAGATAGGGGAATTCTTTTTACACAACCAAAGAGTCTCACCTCGCTGACGTTTCGGTGTGTCAGACACCTTCTTCAGAGCTTCTGACTGGAGTACTGCATCTCGCCGCTATATGTAGCCGATGTAGGTGGATGCAGTACTCCAGTCAGAAGCTCTGAAGAAGGTGTCTGACAGACACCGAAACGTCAGCGAGGTGAGACTCTTTGGTTGTGTAAAAAGAATTCCCCTATCTCTGAAAACTTTTTTGTTGGAAACGGACGAAAACTTCATTACTTGCTAAGTTTGTAGTTGCTTTACGCGATTTACACTGGTTGAAAACTTTTTTGTTGGAAACGGACGAAAACTTCATGCGCGCGCGGATGTCACCCATATAATCAAATCAACATGGCCTGCCTAACAGCAGGTGTGCAGGGCAGGTGAGCGATCACGTGGCACGATCTTCAGGTGAGAGACAGGAAGACAATAGGTACAATGTACGAAGGAGTTGTCGACGCACCGTCCGTGCTGGAAGATCGATAGAAGAAAATATTGGAGTAATTTTGGTAGGACTCTTTGCAAGGTAGAAGACAAAACTCTTGGTAAACAAATAGAGACGTTTGTAACGTTGCCTTTTATCGAGTAGACAAGTTGGTATATTTTGAACAAAAAATATGTTGTATGTCCTCTATTTTTGACCTTCCTACAAAGGGACTTGTTTTCAGCGTAGCTGACAAAAAAACTAGCTAGCTAGTTTTTTCTGAATTAACAGACGGAAGTTTGAGTGAAGAATTATCATAAGAACTGAAATTGATTTGCTATTTTCTGTCAGAAAAGGCTCCTGCAAATTAATTGACAGTTGTTTTGCCAACAATCATTAGTAGCCGTACTTATTTATTTTATTCACATTTATTTTTCGAGGATTGGGCAAAAAGTTATAAAACTTATCTCAGCCCTCTCCTCACACATAAAAGGAAACAATAAAACAAAATAAGAATAAGAATAGGAATAAGAAATGACAAAGGTTCATAATGAGCTGGTGTACAAATAAAAATCAATCAACTAAATCAAACAAAACTTAGCCGTACTTGCACGGTTTTGTTATACGGACTAAAGTAGAAGTCGTAAGCTTGAGTGACAATTGGATTTGTTTTATTTTTTTTCAGACGGTTTCCCAATTGTGCAATTTCACCGGCGGTCAATTCCTTTCTCAATACATCCGGTTTTTTTGCTATTGTACTATCGAACGTTCTGGCATTAAAACTGATTCTGCGGTGCCCATATACTGACGTCCACCCTAACACATGTGTCTATGTATTTACTGTGTGGACTGTCATTGGTCCAGCTGGACCCATGGTACCAAGCAAATACAGACTACCATGCAAACTCTCGCGTGTTTGGGCGGGATCATGCGAGAGTATGACGTCACTAATTATGCCACAAGGTCATGTTTCTGCAGACATACTTTCCTTCATAGTAAGATATAATGGGCATAAACACAAAAATACAACGCATTTGCATAATATAACGAAATGGGAAAATTGAATAAGAAATATGTAATAACATAAAGTGAACAATCGCATTGTAAACGTCATCTATGCGCTTTTCTAGAATAAATTGAATCTGCATCCCACAATAAAAAGCTCGAGTTTGTTGAAGTGGGTCCTTTGACAGCCCCATTGTCAGGTTCATACTTACCTGGCAGAGATGGCACAGTGATCATGTCGGCTGTCCGTCATGGGCGAGGCCTGACCATTGCACTCCGGTCGGGCTGACCCCATCGATTACCCCAAATGCGGGTAACTCGGCTGCGTAATTAATGATAGTGGGGGTCTGCGTTCGCGCTAACCCCCGCCCATACAATCCAAAAGCAGAACACACAACAAACCCCACTACCACTATCTCCTCTCTCTCTCCCTACTCTCCAAGTAGAGGTTTGGGGTTATTTTGGGCGTGTTTTTAGGCTTTTGTTAATCGGGGTTTCGTTTTTGCGCTGGGTTTTTTTCACCCAACAAAATATTCAACAGAAAAAAATCCGGTGCAAAAAAGAAACCCCGATTAAAAAAAAGCCTAAAAACACGCCAAAAATATCCCAAACTTCTGCTTGGAGAGTACTCTTTCCTTTCGGTAGCCAAAAGCACTTCGCCCGCCTATCTAAATTACTCTGGTGACAACACCAGGCAAGCCTCTACTAGGCTTCGGGAGGCGGCTGGAAAGAGTAGAATTTGGCCAAATACATGGAGAGATAACATGCCAGTAGCTAACATGCCAGGGGTGCGACATATTGTACTCCGTGGCGGACCAACTCCCCTGGCATGTTTATATATCTCTCTTTTTGGCCAAATTCTACTCTTTTCAGCCGCCTCTCGAAGCCTGGTACAGGCTACACTAGACTAGGTATCAGTCTCAAAATCGACTGTGACTTTGAACCCTTCACTTACCTCATTTGCATACTTCCGTGGGGTCGCGCAAGTCAGCCTTCCCTCTGCCAACCCGATGACGTCTGCCCTAGTGTTGTTTACCCACTCCCGAAACCAGCGCAAATTCTCGCACGTACAGTCGAAGTTGTTTCTGTAGATGTAGAGTTCCTTCAGAGATTTAGACACGGGTTCAAACACTGACTTCTCTACGGACGTCAAAAGGTTTCCGTCAATCCGCAAAGTCTCCAGACTGGTCAGCGATTTGAAGAGTTCTCTCTGAAGGTTCGAAAGCCGGTTGTTGTGGTCGCCGTATAGACCAGGTCCCAGGTTCAGATACCGGAGTTTGGTCAGATTTTGAAATATATCTTTTTGGAGAGATTCCAGGCGATTCCCTTGCAGTCGGAGAGTCTGTAAGTTAGTGAGGTCACCAAAGAACCGTGCAAACTTTTTGCTACTACTGGCAGAGTCAGAGTTCAGCATCAAGTACAAGTTGTTGTTGGAAAGCACTAACTCCTCTAATTTTCTCAGATCTTGGAAGAGGTACGGGTTAAGAACGCGTATGTTCATTCGGTCCATGTCAATCAGTCTCAGATCGGGATTGTATTCGAACGAACCTTCGAAGTTCTCGTTGAAACCGAGAAGTCCCGACATGACCAGTTTCTGGAGCTTCGGCAGGAAAACGAAAGATTTTTCTATGATTTTCATCCTGTTGTAGCCCGGTCCACCGCCAATGTTCAACGACGTGAGGTTGTCTAGTCCGCGGAACTCTGTCCCTGTCAGCCTGTGCCCGCTTCCCAACGCTCCGATGTAATTATCGGAGATGTTTAAACTCAGGAGATTGCCGAAGCGTCGAAACTGGTCAGCTTGGATGTTCAGCATGGAGCAGAATCTCAGATCAAGTTCCAAAAGACTCGAGTTTAATTTTTCCAACGCCGCCATTGGGGCGCTCCACAGCGGGTTCAAGTACAAGGACAACACCTCCAGATGTCTCAATCCTTCAAAAGCGTTGTCTTCGATCCTCGAAATGTTGTTGTAAGCGAGATCCAGACGCTTTAAAAGAGGCACAGACGTGAACGTGTTGTCTGTTACGCTTGTTAGGTTATTTCTGAAGAGGACCAAGGTTTCCAGCCCTGTTTGTGCAAGGCTACTGAAAGAGCTTGTATTTACTGTCAGAATGTCGTTACTCGAAAGCACTAGACGCTGAAGGCTCCTAATGCCGTTAAATGCTGCTGAATCCAGCCGGGAAATTTTGTTGTACGAGAGGTCCAGCGTCCGCAGCGAGACGTTGAGGTCCTCGCGGGCAAATATCCAACCGGTAGAAGAACTGATTCCGTTTAGTCGGAGTAAAATATGCCGAAGAGACTTGAAACGGTCCCAGTTGGTGGTACCCTTGTCCTGTAAGTTTACGTGGTTGCCCGAGAGGTCCAAAATTCTCAGTGAATTTTTTACAGGAAACGCACCATAGGGTATCTCCGTCAGCTTGTTGTCGGCCAAGTTGACTTCAGTAATGTTTTGCAGTTCTTCGAATGTCCCATTTTCTAGGGTTGTCAGGTTGTTTCCTATGAGCAGAATGGTCTTCATGTGTACGAGCTTGGCGAACGCAGTCTTGCTAACGCTTGTGATGTTGCAAAAACTCAAGTCGACAAACTCCAACTGAGTGAGGTGACAGAACGCACAGTCTGGAAGGGTGGTGATGCCGTTACTGAGAAGGTACAGAGTTTTTATCGTCGGAGGCAGCTCGCTGACGGCGGCATCGAGAACGGACCGTAGCCTCATGCTGCTACAGTCGGCCACGGTTCGGTTGTAGACCCGGCAACTTTTGCCTCGCGCCCCGGTACTGACCTGCCCTGTCGCCGGCGGAGTTTGCTGACTCACCGACCATACTGCCAACGTTGTGGCGACGAAAAGTGCCAGTCTACCCGCCGCCATTATACTTGACTGTACGTAAAAATCCGTGACCAGTGAACTGATTTCCTCTTGTTTTTGGGCCTCGGTTCAAAGCACACTGTAGGTTCAAAGGTTCTTAAGTTGGCTGGTAGTCAAGGAAACGTTGGTGTAGAAAGGTCGACCGTTGAATTAGCTGACTCTGTAATGAAAGTCAACCTTCAGTGCGATCGGTATTCAGATCTGGAGTAGTCAGACCCTGAGTAGCTGCCATTGAATCTGTTGGGGGAGAGTAAACAAGAAAGTTTTTTTTTTTAAAGCTGACATTTCGCGGTTAAAAGGGGCGCAAACGGTTATATATTAGCTGTTATTTGCACTCCTTGGCTGATTTATTAGTATTTTAAGAGTGTTTGCAGCACACTATAACTAGCACAAATCTGCGAACAATGCATGGATGAACTTCCTCTTGCGTTATCTACATTTTATCGCAACCTATATATATATATATATATATATATATATATATA